TCTGCATCTTCTCAAGAAACTTCCATAACTAATCAATGGGCTAAAAAATATACTAATTAAAACATACTGATTCTTTTCTTAGTATAGTAAGAAAGCTTCATTACTACCCAGTGACTTTATTCAGTGTCAAGAATAAAACAAATAGTTATGTGAAAAGGAAATCTACCACGTGCTGCATAGTTGCTTCAGGCCAGCACAGAAAACAATGAAATGGAAACTCTGGAACTGGTTATGCCCAATGACTTCATCTAACATTTAGATGGATATACATAATTCAAAAAATAAATGCATATTACGCCCTTTGTATTCATGCCATCTTATTTTTGAGTATTTTACTGAGATGCCCAGTTTAGGAGCTTAATCTTTGCTGATTAAGAAGAAAATTAAGATAAGGAGGGTAGCCATCTAGAGAGAGATACAGAATTGGGCTGAAGAGTGCATAACAGATGCATTAATTTCTAATTTAGAGCTCCAAAAGATACCACTCCAAATTGATTAAATGAAAAGTCCTGATATGGCCCTAATTCTGAGAGCAGGAAAGAGCAGAGGAATAAGTGCTCCCAAATATCTTTTGTTAAGAGCCCAAAGCTGGGTGGGGCGAACCTGATCAGAACGTATCACTGGCTGAATACACCAGGAATGAGAAAAAAGCAGGCTCACAGACAACAGAAAAGAGACATAGCTGCTGAACTGTCCAGAGCCTTTCCATCTAAAATACAGTGAACAAAAGGGCAGCTCTAGCCATCACTGCAAGATTCCACTGCGGTTCAAACATTGTAATGATAGTCACTATTGAATGATCATGAAGGGTGTGGGAAATTAATCCTGTTTCTCTATGACTTTATACTCAAGCCACCAGAATATCCAGATGGCAGAATCAGCTATCCTTTATATTGTTCCTGTTTTGGGTGTTTTTAAGTCTGCCATTTCTCCTCTCAAGTTTTCTGGTACTCAGCTGTTCTGCTTCACATACCCTAAACTTCATTTCTGCAGCTGTGTTGTCTTTTACGATATCACATTTCTTACAGAACTGAGGTCAGAAGTTTATTATGTGATCCAACGCTGCTGTAGTTACTGGAATCATTATTTTTTGCATTACTTTTTTTTCTTCCGGTATATAATATCAGACCTTAAATTATCAGGTAGGTATTGGTAAATAAAATATTACACAACCTTTGTGTTTAACTAAGTTTCTGACTGCCAGAAATTTTCTACAATGGTAGAAATCCATTTTTCTGCCTGATTCTTTAAAAAATGAAATTTTAAAAAATCAAGTTTAATTTCTATAACTATTCTTACATCAAGCATACTACTCAGTACTTCTGGTTTTAGTAAAAAGTAGATTTGCAGTGTGACAGGACAGCATGAAAATCCCAGAGGCCAATGGAATTCCTTTGGTTTAAAATCCTCCAGTCAATTGCAATCAAATGGGTTTGAGCACTGTAATCTCTGAGTAGTGACTGAAGTTTGTAATTCACTGCTCATACACAGTTCTTTGCAGGGTCTTATAGGAAGCTAATACATAAGTTATATTACAAAGCCAAATACCACCATTAAATTGCTTTGTTTTGAATGTCTGCATGTTTGTTCCCCAGGAACAAATACTGCAGCTTACTCAATCCATTCTCATTACTGTCAGTCTTGTTATGTTTCAATATGGAGCAAGAAAAGCATATTACTTAAGGACAGGATTTTCAGTAGTGTCTAAATCCTATTGATTTTCAATAAGAAAGCTCCACTGTATATCCTTCCTCTGTTAAAGCCCTCAGCTACTGCAAAGACACTGGCTGCTAAAACCTGTAGTGTCCTGAGAGTGACTGAAATAAAACACCTACTGTTTACTACTAAATGCTATGCAAAGCCAAACAGTGAATCACTAAAATTGTATGTCTGACCGAAGAGACATATAAGAGGCATACAAAAGACAATCTCCCGAGCATAGGAAAGAGAGGCAGATCCTGCAATGATCACAGTTAGCGATTGCCTTCAAGACACAGACTATAGACATCAGCCAATGTTATCAATCAGCTGTGGCAAACTGATGAATGCACAACTTTAAGTACCTACACAGCTGCAGTTCTGTTTGAAACCTTGATTTTTTCTTTACACAACTCATTTACGTCTTTGTTTACCTCTTTTCCCAAAAAGTCAAGTTAAAGAGTCAGATGGCCTCTTAGTGCATGGGATGCTGGGACCCGTCCCCTGCTATATGCCCAAAGCCATGCTACACAATGCATATTTAACTTTTTAAGTTCAAAATAGATTTGCAAAATTAGGCGATGTCTTTTATATGGTGGTTGATAGCTAGAAAAATTAACATACATTTAAAAAAAATCTAGCCTTCATGGACTCAGCTTGTAAAAGTCCTTGTCCTGAATACCTCAGATGAAATTAAAAGACTATTTATATAAAAAGCCTTGAAAATATCCTTCTTTATCACCTTAAAGTGCTGAAAGCTATGATCTACTACACACACACCGGCAAGCCAGTGATCTCTGGGTTTACATGGTGTTATGGAAGCTAAGACTTGCTTTCTTGTGGTAAATTCTGAACACAGTGAGGAATGAACTCAGCATATACTGAGTTATATACTGACAGAGATAGACAGGAAAAGAAGCAACTGAAAAGATATTTGCTACTCCAAGTTTAGTGTGGAACAGCCTTCTTGTCTAAAATCAGATTCACTTTGTGAGTAGGAAGGAAGGAATGGCGTGGGAACTACCATGCCGATTTTCAGGTCCTGCTCTGGACACCAAAACATCCCAATTTCACTCTGAGAAGTAAGAAACACTGTGTATATAAATATTAAGTTATTCTTGCACTTTATAGTAATGGTGTGAAAGAGCAGTTCACAGATAAATCACCTGAAATATGAGCAGATAAGCATCACGCGAGGGACTAGCACTGAAACCTACAGCCAAGATTCACAGCTTTTATTCTCAACTTCTGCCATCAGTTTGATGCCTCTCAACAGGTTATTTTTCATGGAAGATTTTGAAAAACTCAAAGGAAAACTGCTACAGATATTATAATTAGAATTGATGAGATTTCCAACCAATCTACAACCTATTTTCTTCATTGTGTTTTTTTCATCTGTGGAATATAGAAAGCATACAAGGGTATGCTTCCTTACTGTCTAAATTATAAAGATAAAAACCCTGGCTTTTGAAAGAACTAGGCTGTCAACTTTTTCGTCATCCAAGCTTCCAGTTAACTTATTTCTATAATATTGAAGTGAAAATTCAAAAAAGATATTCAGGTTAACAATAAAAATCACTATAGCATATATCTGTAGTAAACTTAATCTAAGAATATAGCTATAAAATTGATGTTTGTAGCACTAAGCAGCAAAGCTTCTCTAGCTTGTCATAAAAGGCACCTTTTTGGTATCCACTCTATTTTATGAAAATAAATGTAAAAATAAATAGTTTCAGGCATACAATCAAAACAAATACCATGCAAAAACATTACTAGATAATGATTGCTTCTCTTGTCCGTTTCCACAATGCAGCAAAAATTTGGTCATGGTGAATAATTTTTACTGTTTCATCACAACCTGAAAGGACATGTTAATTTTAGTTTCTTTAGCCTTAGGTTACTCGAAATGACTATCATATCACACATTTAGTTTAATTCCAAAGCTTTAAAAACACTGCTGCCTGCACTACTATTCTGAGTTCATACACGTACAAAATCTCATTAGAGATGCTTTGCTATTAGAAAGTCAATTTAGCATTGTAATTGACCACAAGAATCCAGACTTTTAGGGGGTTACCCTTAGATGCGTGCTTAAATGTATCTTACTGTTCGCCAAGAGTAGAGGATGATGAATATACTGCTATGTCAATTAACCATGATATACACAGATGAGGTATAGTGCAATACTGAAAGCAGTGCACTATCTTTGCTTACTATGAATGGATAATCTCAAGAATTCCAAGTGTATTAGAAACAAATATACTCCATTATTGGTATAAAAACTATGTAGAAGCATACTGTAATATTCACATGAGATGAGATGTAAGGGAAATCAATGAAAAAGCTACTGGTTATTCACTGTAGATGAAACAGGTAGAATAATCTCATGTGCATGGCATATATTAAAAGACACATAAATTTCTTCATTTAATGTATATACCATTAATTAAAGACTTGCTTATGAAATAATTATTATGGATCCAAAAATCTACTGCTGTTCATTCTATTCTCATGTACTGTGAAAATATCCATTTTCTTTGCCCAGAAATTAGCTATGACGAAAAATACAGCAGCCAGAGGGAAATTTCAGGCAGGAAAAACAATAAAATGAAATTTGTTAAAAATAACACTTCTGCAAATAAAAACTTTTTGCAAAAGGAAAGGTGAAAATATAATATTCACAATTTGTACTAATGCTTCTAGAAAGGAATTTGTGGTTGGGTTTTTTTTTCTGTAACTGGAAGGTTCTGCTGGAAGTGATAAAGCTGATTTAGACTAGTGAAAGTCTAATTCCATGTTACACTTCCATGTAATTTTGTTGAAGGATTTTGTTGAAGGATAAAATAAAATTCTTCTATATATCTGGGTAAGTTAGTATTCTCGTCTTCTTGTTCCAAAGATAACTGCAGAAGAAACCATCAACATGAAAGTAAAAAGGCTAAGTTGGATAACCATACTGCCTTCTGAAAAAAGGGAGGATTCAGAAACTCTGTATTCAACAGCACCAGTATATGTGCTGCCAATGTAAAGCATAATATGCCTGCATCTTGCATTTCTTTGTGAGGTAACAAGCCATCTCTACAGTAAACATCAAATGAAAAAAACCACAACTCCTAGTATTCTTTTATATTTCAGGAAGACACATGCAACCATGAATTCAAGTTCTATCATCCTAAATTAACTGCATTTCAGTATTTGACAGGTCAACCAGTTAACAAATCGTCAAAGTCAGATGCCATTGGAGCTACAAGAGAGGTCAAGCATCAAGTTTAAAATGGATGTCTTTTCTTTTTCTTATTTACCTTTAGGTCCTTTGAACAATTTGATCTCTACCACGGTCTCCAGAATAGGTCTCCTTCGACGAACGTACAACCGTACTATGGAGCCAGCCTCTTTTAGGGCCTCCACGGCTTTGCTGTGTGAGACTTCTGACACGTCAACCTCATTCACTCGCAAGATGCAATCGTTGACCCTACAAGAAAAGCAAAGAACCATAGATACTAAATGCTTCAGCTGTTATTTTGGACCAAACAGAGTTTTGTCCGTAGTGCTGTAAAATGAAGAACACTTCATTGGGAAGTCTGCCAGATGACAGACTTAATGCAATATGCTTCATGAGTAATGAGACAGAAACAGAACACTTAGTCCCTCCGAAAGACATACCTGATTCAAACTAAAGTCTACCTAATCACTTACACCTACCATCCTCCTTCATAAATTGGGGCTGGATCCACAGGGTGATAGAAATGAGTAATAAACAACTCATCTTTACAGACTTCATTAAAACATGTTTTACTAAACAATATAATCGAGTTACAACATTCACGCTGGATGCCCTTACTACTACAGTTGGTCTTAAGGAAATCAGTTGATTCAATTTAATACAGAAAGACCAGTAATCATTCAAATACCTCCTTAAATCTCTCATATTTCTTCATCAGAGCCAAAGAATTTTAAATTGTCAAAGTAAAAATGCTGTCCTACAAAACGTAGACAATTTAAGAGAGAATGTTTCATGCCACATAATTTGAGTAAATGTCATTGTCTATGTTTTCACCACTGACTGTAGACTCCCAGATCTACTGTGTGGTAATAGCACCTATTTTTCATAGAATATTAATAAAATTCCCTCATATTCTTACTTTGGGTGTTTACTACATTATCTGAGGATGAGCTAATATATTCACCCTCAAAATGTCCTGGTTAGATGGAGTAGTATTCTCCTCATCTGACAGATTTGTCCAAGTTGGAAAGAAATCTACACCTTGAGAGCACTAAAACCCATCTCCAAAGGACCAGGCTAATGACTTAACTACTGGGCCATCCTTTCTTTGCAAATGAGGGTAAATGAGAAGAGCAAATTCCAAAGAACTAGATGAACTGAGACTATTGTTCTTATGTGAAGTACGTTTATTATGAGATGCCTCTAAGTATTTTGGGTACAGAAGAAAAAGGCATATGTAAATGAATGTGTTCTTCTGTATGTCTGAAAGGACAATCAGCGAAGAAAATATGGGTTGCTAAAAATATTCCCATTTCTGCTACGTTTCTATACATAAAGATCAACCATCGAATGTTAATCTCTACAGCAAAAGAACACTTGAGCTGGGTATTGCTCAGGAATCTTAGCGCAAGAAGAAAGAATGAAGCTTTACCAAAAGTTTATCTGAACTCTGAGAAATTAGGATGGATTTTTGTTATGTTCTTGTGTTGCTGTTTTTGATTAAAAACAAATCAAAACCAAAAAAAACAACAAAAAGACCACAACTATTTGAAACCAAAGACTTTCTGTGTTATCAGCCTTTTGGAAGAACATTTACAGGAGAAAATGTTGATAGCAGCCTTTATCCGACAATTGGTTGAACTTGGAAAGGTCAAAAAATTGACAGTTCCCTTGTGATAAAAACGTATTGCAAAGTTTCCAGTTTTCATTCAATGGTTTGGTTTGCTGCTTTCCTTGACAGAAGTATTATGACAGAAGTATTAATTTTCCAAATGTTTAATTGTGTGGTTTGGCTGTAAAATTAATAAGTGCTCTAATTTAAATTGTTTTATTTTTTTAAATAAATAATGAATACATCTTGCTAGTGCTTCCCACTCAGAAAAACAGTAATTATGTCTAAGTTGCTAGTCTTTCTATTAACATCACTATATATATGATTCTTGTCAAATTTATGACTTTTATTATTGTCATATCTGAAATACAATTGATGAAAAGTTGGGGAAAGATTATAAAAACACTAAAAAGGAGGGTTACATTTATTTTCTTTTCATATACTCTGTGCCCTGCATTGATAAGTATTGATATTACTAGGTAATCCTATCTACCTAAAACCTCTCATAAAAGCTCCAGTGATGCCTTCTGTTAAGGAAAAAAAGCATGTATATTGGAGAAAGTCAATAAACAACATGGAATTAACTTGCCAAAATCAGTAAGCCACACACCTCCGTTCACTAGAAAAGCAAGACCCTTTGGAAAAGAACATTTACACTCTAACAGAAATCTCACCTTAGTGTCTAAAATTTGTTTTTTCAGAGTTACCTGCTTTAAAACAGTAAGACTATCTTTAATAAAACATACACAGATTAATACTGCTAGTGTAGGATGAATATAAGAGTGAGAGAATACAGAGCTGATCCAGTGATAGAAATACTTTCACACAAACTGTTTTGTTTGTATACAAATACAAACTTTGTCAGTGCAGAAGTAACAGGACTATTAACCTATGCAGTCTGCTATGACGAACACATCCAGTGCTAGATACCCTGCTATACCCTTCCGAACCTGTAGGCTTTTTTTCTCCCTCACAGAGACCTGAGTTTTTTAGTTTTCATAAATAAAAGAAATACAATATTCAAGAACATACATGCACATGCATAAACGCATGCACATATATATGTGACTATAGAGTTCTTTGGGCTCTAACACAATTTTTGGAGGGCATGCTGACCCAGTACTAGATCAACAGAACGCAATGATCTCAAGAGGTCTACAAATATTCTTTGAGGATATTCAGACTTCTCAAACAGCAGGTCCATGGTGCAATGAAATAAATGACAAACTGGTGAGACGACTCTAACCTTAACCATAACGGCTAAATTATTGTAGGATTATTATTAATCTAGAAACTCTAGAATCTTTTTTAAATTTAGAAACATAGAGCACTTGGAAGATAAACACAAATCATTATTCATGATAAAATAAGAGCATTTCAGAGAAGAGAATAAAACAAGAAAGCTGAAGCAACATCGCAACACACAGACTGTGATGTCATATTTTTCTTCTTAAAATCTATGCAGAAAGTTTTCAGGGCCAATACTTGGCATAGCTGTTATTATCTAAAGACAGAAGTCTGTGAGAGTGGGCTTGGGATACTTTTTCCTTCTATTTAAACTTTTACAGTACAGTTCCTACTCTGAAAGAAGTCTGCTCTTTTAGTGACCTATAAATGCCACAACAATATAAACCTAAAATAATAATAGCAACAAAAGTCAGTAAATCCAGTTTAAGAAAATTCTTTCAGATGATCAAGTGTATGGTCTTACCACTTAGGGGCAAAATTATTTTGCCCTTGCAAACAGCTCTCCAACGTATTTTCCTGGCTTCATTAAGATATCCATGTAACAACTATATGGCAAAAGTGTATTCCACTTGATACATGGATTCCTTTCTCTATTTATCTCAAAGTTTTCCTAAGGCCTGTAGGTGGGTATACACTAGATGTAGAAGTTAGTTTCAGGCACAGTTTCGGACCTGTGCCAAGGAGAAGATCTGCCTCATAATCTAAGATAGTAATACACAAATTCAACAGAAGAGATCCTTATAGTTTCACCAATAACTACAGTAATTCAACACAAAAAAATCCAGGCAGGAGGAAAATTTTTCCAAGAAGACTTCCTTTGTTTCCACAACAAGATATCATAAATATATTTTTTTCAATATTAAAGCATTTATCTAACAGTCTCAGCACTTTTAAATTATTACCATTCTACTTGCAAACCTTAGCACCATATACTTCTTTGAGTAAGGTTTATTCATACAGTTATTTTTTAAGACTGTAAAAACTTGTAAAAATTTGTAATGAATTGTAAAAAGTTCTAGTGAGAGAGAAAGCAGAAAAGGAAGTTGTATTCTAAGCTATAGCTAATGACTTATGTAAAAATTAAGAAACTAGAGGAAATTCTATTTTCTCTAATTCTATACAAAAAGAACTCTTAAAATATTCTTAAGATGCAGAACTTTAATTGTTAAGATTTAACAATATAATCTCAGCATCTGCTGATGATACAGGTTCACAGAGTTCTTGACTAAATTTACTCATATTTCAATGAAAAGCAACACATGATTAGAAGTGTTTTGGAAACTGCATGTGCCATGCTGAAAAAAAAAGAATGAAAATATGTTCTAACCATATTGTAAAAGAACATAACCCTGAAAGCAATGTTCATGCTATTGTTTCCTCCGTTCAGCACAGCATATAAATATCTGATTAATTTTTGAGGTGTAAGTAATCCTATTTCTATTTTAGCCTAAATACTCAAATGGGGGCTCAGCATTATGCATATACTTAAATTTGTTCTTGTCTGTAGAATCACCCATGCAGGTAACGGTCAAGTTAAAATGAGGTAGGCAGCTCTTTCCATGGCTCGCTGGATCATCTAAATACTTTAACAAAATGGATATATTCTAAAAGACCTCTGTAGAATAATTCAGATACGAAGGACCCTGGATCATAAAATATAGAACACAGACATAGTATAATCATGCCACGACAGTTACAACCGATACAAGAAATATGAGACAGATTTTGCCATTAAGGGGGAAGGTCAGGGACAAAGAGGTTTACAACCATTGTTGCTATCTTCAAAACAAATAAAGGATTGGATTTCTTAAAGAAAAATACTACTCTTCAAGGGCTTATTCCAAGTTTGTTCTAAACCTGACTACCTCCCTCTGAGTTTCATGTTTACTGTTTTCAAGAAACTGTGCGGACATCCTTGAAAAGCTGATAACTGCTTCAGTCAAGTCATAAGTAAATAAGACGAGTACAATCCTTAGGCACTTATTGGAAATATAGTAGGCGACAACTGGTAATGATCATCCTGTTCGCTTGTTCTATGCAATACGGTGCCCCGAGAAGAAATCCAAAGCAGCCTAATATGGCAGCAAAGAGCCCCAGAAGGCCAAATCATCCTGCCAAGATGCATTAGCCCACTTGCAGCTTCATAAAGGAGCTAGTTGGAACCAACTATGGAGCGAGGGAAAGATCTGTGCTCCGTGGGACAACACCATGACGCTAAAAGCTGCAGTAATCCACAGGTCTTAGTTATCATCCAGACACCTCCAGACTAACTGTCAATCTATTAATGGGACAGCCTTGCTTCTCACAAATACAGTTACCATGCTTTCTATTGTAGAATGGCCAACATTAATAGATTATTTCTAAGCAAATCTTTTTAGGTGTTTTCTCA